CAGCCACAGGACCGCCGCCGCAACCAAGATACAGAACCAGTCCGCGGCCCCCAAAGCTCCCTGGAGCTGCCCACCTGCCTGGACCTCCACGCACAGATCACCACAGAGGACAGAAGCTGGGGACACGGCCGCCGCTGAGGGAGGGGCGGACACTGGGCACCCACTTAGGCCTTCTAAGTGCATCAGTCTTGAGAATGTGTCACCTCTTCAAAAACCACAAGGCCCAAAATTCTTTGTTGCCTTCACTGAACAAGAGAGAGATTTACATAAATTACGTAAAGACACAGAACAGTTCCTCTCGGAAGCCAGGAAGGCAGCCCGACCCTGGACACCCCTTGGTGGGCACGCCCCCACACAGCTCTGCACCCTGCACTGACCTTGTAGACGTGCCGCCAGTTCTTGCCGTGGTCGTTGAGCCGCTTCCAGATCATGCTCATGATCTCCGAGAAGGCGACGACGTTGTAGGTGAGGTCAGCAATCTCAGACATGAGGGAGCTGGACGGGCCCCAGGGGTCGTTGCTCGTGGCCTCCCGAACCTTGATCTCGGCCTCCGAGTAGTTGTGGACGATGTTCTTCATCTGACGCCGCAGTGAGGAGGTCGACATGGTGGCTGGCGGTGGGGAGGGGGGCAGGCCCCCCGGGGCGTGCAGAGACGGGGCGGTGGGAGGAGGGAGGCCACGGCAGGGACTGGCAGGTCACCGCATCTGGGGAAAGGAGAGGACCTTTGGGAACACAAGGAGGATCTGCGGCCACCCGGCTCCCCGCTGCCTGCGGGGTGGAGGACCAGGTCCCCACTGTGGCCTGCAAGGCTCTGGCCCTGGTTAACCTCTGCCTTAGTCACCCCATCCACCTTTCAGTTCCTCAGTCGTGCCCAGATCCTTCCTGCCAGGGCCCAGCTCAGCGAGGCAGAGCGTGCAGTGGCAGGCCACAGGCCTGAAGGAGGCACACCCCAGTCAACACTTCCTAGCCTGGCACTTCCCGCACCGCAGTTTTCTCCTCTGTGAGATGGGGCTTCATTCGGAGTCCAGAAAACTGGAGGGAGGCTGCTGCACAGGAAACGCGCTATCCACGTGGGTGGTGTCATGAGACAGTCCCCCTCACGAGGTCCTCGCACCCACCCGCGGGCTCCGCTGGAACGCCCCACCCCGACACCACAGCCACCATTCCCCAGGGGGCCTCGTCGGTAGGCTCACTCGCCCTGGTGATTTTCTACTCGTTTGTCTGACTCTGTAGCTGAGGCCGCCCTGAGACCCCATGGGGGCAGAGACCACGTTTGTCTGGACGTGGCTTTTCCCATCAGAGGAGCTGACCCGGAAGAGCCATTCAATAAGCCGTGCAGGAAGGAAGAGAAGGAGGGAGGGCAGGAAAGACCTCTGGAGCAGGGGTGAGGGGGGCAGAATCCCCTGCAGAAACAAGGACACACAGGCAGGAGGCCGACAAAGGGAGCAGAGATAGACAGGAGTGGGTATGCCAGGGGGACGAGGTGTCCCAACGCGGAGGCTCGCGGAGGAGAGATAAGGAACAAGCCCGCTGGCTAGGCTCCAGCTTAGTGCCAGGCACTCCTCGAGCACGAGACATCCATTATCTCATTTAACACTGCGGGCGGGGTTCTAACAGCTGAGGAAGCAGAGGCTCACGTAGGTGAAGTAACTCAGCCAAGGTCACACACTAGGCGTGGCGGCACAGACTCCACCCCAGGCCACCCTGGGCTCCAGAACACACACTTTTAAGTTAACCTGTGCCGAGAGGAGACTGATGGGAAAGAAACAGAAAAGAGGAGAAGGGGATCAGGCCAGTGAGGCCCGTCACAGCAAGCACTCACACAGCCCTTGCCCGGTGCCAGGCGTGCTCTTGAGTGCCTTACACACGGTAACTCCGTTCGTCCCCATGGCACCGTGATTCACAACACCTCACAGGGGAGGAACCCAAGGCACAGGCCTCACCTCCGGAGCAGCCTGGCTGCAGAGCAGGCTCTGACCACACCGTCCACAACCTTTCCAGCATGCTAGCCACAGGCAGAGACCTACGGAGATCTCCTACAACCTGAGTCCCAGGGGAGGCAGCTGGCCCCTGTCTTGAACACAGGAGAGCAGGCACTTGGAGACAGATGTGAACAGCTGAAAAGGGATGGCCAGGGTGCCAAGACGGACCCAGCCAGACACACTAAGACGGAGAGCTGATCTGACAACTAACAGTAGGAGACTGAAAGGAAAGGGAAAGAAAGAAAAGAAGAAAAAGAGGCACAGAGAAAGCTGGGCAAAGACACGAGAAATGGATAAAGAAACATGGGAAGAGAGTGAGGCAGGCGGGCAACGAGAAAAGACGGAGACCCTGAAACGCAAAGAGCCAGTAACCCGGGACAGGGAAATAAGAGACAAGAGAAATGGAGAACACGAAATCTGGGTCCAAATTATGGCCTCCCTGAGATGCACTTTGCTCAGCTCTTTAATGAAGGAAAAGATTCCACCCGGCAGAACTGGTGATTAAATACAATGGATACATAAAGTTCTTGGCACTGCGCCCCGTGGGTAGTAGTTCAGTAACATTGGCTACTATTATTGTCAGAGAAAACACAGAACTATTTCCAAAAAGGTGGCCATCAGAAAATGTGCTATCTTAACACCGTGTTTTTATTAACGGGCATTAGAAGATATATTCAACATTCACAGCAAAACTAAAACTTCACAAACGCTGCTTAAAACAAGACTACGTTTTTCAAAATTGCTTAGCCCAAAGAGAATTACTAAATCGAATAAAAGACAAATCATACGGCAAAATTCTCCAAGGGGTAGTCAGATATCAAACAATGTCAAACGTCACCTGTGTGGAACAAAAAAATCTACAAACAATAATGGAAAGCAGAACTGCCAGCAGTTAACTACACACTTACTACGCGCCAGGGTTAGGCACTTAAAAAAAGCATCACCTCCGTTATTAGGCAAAGCTGCCCTATTACGCAGGAAACACAAGCACACTAATTTTAAAGACTAGGAAACTAAGGTTTGGTGATAAATCACCTGACAAATCTTACAGGCTCGCAAAAAGTGGACCTCTGATTCCAGAGCCGGGTTCTTCACCAAAACTAACTCAAGAACCTGGGTTCACCCAGGTTCACCTAGGGTCTAGGGGCAGACCCTAGACCAAGCGACAGACGAGCGGAGAGGGACTCGGGCTTGGAGGACACGGGTATCAGGACAAAAATGAGATGGGAAGACGGCGGGGAGAGATGCACAGAGCCTAGAAACACCTGGCGAACGGAGACACCAACATTAATCCTGACCCTCAGACGCCGAAACGTGACAGAAAAACAGAACGAGACCGGGACAGACACACGGAGACAAATGCTTTGCAAAAACGCCTAAACAGACGCGGACAAGAGCACAAGCGAGGCCCGCGGGAGGCAGCGGCGCTGACACACAGACACAGGCAGACGCGGGAGAGACGGAGAGCCGCGGGCGGCCCAGGCCGGCCGGGAGTAGGCACACAAAGGCCACGGAGACGCCCGAGCGCGCCCGCCCGCCGCGCCCCTGCCCGCGCTCACCTCGGCCCCCTCACGCCGCGCTCCAGGGGGTCATGGCGGGCAGCCCCCTGCCCCCGCTCGGCCTCGGTGTCGCGGGGCGCGCGCCGAGCCGCGAGCGGCGGACGCGGAGCCGCGCTTGGGCGCACGCGCGGACGCACGGAGGGCCGCACGCCGACGGCCCCGCCGCCCCGGCGCCCGGGAGGGGCGCGGAGAACCGGGCGGGGGAGGGGAGCCGCCGAGCGGACGGGAAGCAACCAAAGGAGGCGACGGACCGGAAGCGGAAGTGGCCGCGCGACCCGCCCAGCCGCCCCGTCTGCGGCGAGCCTGCGCAGTGGCTACTTCCGAGGACACGCTCTCCCGCGTGCCGTCACTTCCGGCGCGCGGGAACCGTCGCCAGGAGCCACTGCCCTCATTTCCGCCCGCCTCCACGAAACCCCGGGTACGCGCACGGAGAGGCGGGGCGCACCGAGGGGTCGGCCAGCGAGCTCGGCCGAAGGCGAAGAGACCGCGTCGTCGTCCCCAGACCGCCCCCGCCCGGTAGCCCCAGGCCCGCTAGACCATGCCCCACCGCGGTGCCCTGGGACGATCTGAACTCCTGCGCCCACAGGGCCAGCCGGATGCGCCCCTCCCCAGTTCATACGGGGGCCCGTCCACTGCACCCTCCTCCCCGGGGCCATGCCCTACGCCCGTCCTAGAGGAGCAGGCCACGCAGGCGGGGTGTGCCACTTCGGGTGTGCCAAGGGCACGGGTGCCCGTGCCAGATCAACAGTGCGGACAGCTGGGCCTCCCAGGGCCAAGCCTCAGCCTGGGGGCAAGGGAACCCCTGAGAACTGGAGGGGAGGGGGTTACACACACCGGACACAGAGCAGCTCCATAAAGTAAAATACAACAAAATGTTTAATGAGCAAATTCGTCTTAGCAAATATGAAACTGCCACAGAGAGTAGGAGAGGGACAGGGGCCACGGGGTGGGGGGCAGGTCTGGGGAGACTAAGGAGAGAATCAACTATGTAAGAAACCAAGGAGAACACGGTGGAGAGGACCAGAGGCCAAAAGGACAGGAGCTGTGGTCCTGAAAGGGGAGAGCAGGGTATCGGGGCCGAACAACAAAATTCAAAATAGTTTGGCCATAAAATATAAACACGCTATGTTTCTACGGTGGGGAAGGGGAGAGAAAGGGAGCATAAGGGAAGAGAGACTTCCAGGGAAGGGCCGTGGGGGTCCGACCTCGCCCTGCTGTGCACCCCCTCCCCACCCCTTCCCTCTGTGTCTGTGGGTGCATGTGTCTGTGTGGGTCTGTGTGCGCACTTCCCCCGTCCCCTCCC